AGATTTAAGCTATTTAGTCTAAATATTTATGTCTTTGTGTTATAATTTGTTGTCATTCTAGAATAAAAGAGGCATAATTCATATTTATTTACAAAATTTTATGGTGGTTACGAGATCAGTCAAATCTACTAAACCGGTACAGAGATTCGTTACTTAAAATAACAGATAAAATATAGTTTTTTCTTAAGAAAGGTTTGATAACTATCTGGACAAAAGGATTTAGAATGTGAAATTTGAAGTTTTCTGATGTGTAAAAGTATTTTTTATCTTAAAATGAAAATTAATTTGCATGTTGGTTAAGCAACATGTAAAATGAAAAAAAAGGCATGAGAATAACATTGTTTTACAAAAAAAATCATATTTTGAGTATGAAAGCATTGTAATATTTACTGATAATCTGCAAAATTTCATTAGCATACGCATACTAATTTAAAAATTATAACATGAAAACTATAACAAGCACAAAATGGTTACGAGGTCGGTACCAGGGACTAAGCCTGTGCTGAAAGAGTTAACAAAGACAGTTTAAAACTGGCTGTTCCTAGGCATGAGTGTGAGAATGGGTGTGAACTCGTACGCATTCACACTCTCATTCCCAAGATGTGCCCAGTAATGGTCAGTTTCAAATTGTCTTTGTTAATGTGAAGATGACCTAAGAAGTTAGAAATGTTGTTCTTGTACTTTATTTTAAAGTTTTTAATACGTATACTAGCCATCTCTGCTATACAATTATGCATTTTTGATACAAACTACTAACTTTAAAATAAATAAAATTATTACATTCATATTAACCAAACTAAATTAATATACACAGATTGTAAGAAGTTAATTTTTTTTTTCACAGCTATACCCATTGTAGTGAAAGAAAACAAAAACCTGTGACCGATCTTTGTATCGGTCACTAAAACTGATCCAATCTAAATAATTCACCAATATTTTCTGATCCAACTTTTAAGAAGATTGGAGTGGCAAGTTTGTTTAGCTATGAAAATATGCAATAGATTCAGGCATCTACATGATAGAATGCACAATATATCCCAAAATGAGAAGTTGTTTCTTGATTTGTTTAAAGTTTACAGAAAAAAAAAATGTAAGCAGAGTTCTTCAACTTCATTTAATATGTACTTGTTTTGTATTCTGATAAAAATGTCCTTTTTGTAGTCTGATAAGTGTGTGATATAGTTTACAATGAGTTTTGCAGTTTGACACACACCACTAACATATATACATTAAGAGATATCCAGACATGTGGAACACACAAATGCAGATTGTCAAAATCTGATCTGATATCGGGCAATCTTGGGGTACATCATCACAAATCTGATATTTCACTCAAGTGGCAGGCTTAGAAAACTACTTTTTCTTTTTTAATTGTGTGTATTCTAATTGTATTAGTATTTAATATTATCCACAGACTTTCCACGCTCAACTAGTATTTCACCATCTTTACAACACCCTGTGCATTTCAAATTTGTTTTAAAAACATCACAGTTGATCTCTTCACCAAAGAAGTTTGATAATTATGTGCACTTGTAAAGAAAGTATCTGACTATTTGCTAGAGTTTTGAAATAAACAAGAGAATACTCCCTTGAAAATCTTCATAATATCCCAAAGCATGGATATGTGAAGTTAAGCTACATTAAGCTACTTCTGAATGAGGAAGCTCATTAATTGACAAAAAAAAATTCTGTATTGTGGGAAATCAAAATGTGAAAGTTATACAAGAATACTGGGAAGCAACACTTGACCTCCAAATCAAAGGAATGAACTGCCAACTGTGTAATGTCATAGAGAATAGTTTTTTTTTGTTGCACTGTTATGTTTTTACATTCTAACATAATGGTAAATCTTGCCCAAACAAACCCTATCACATCATGTTACTGAAAATCAGTGCTCGAGCTGAGGTGGAACAAACCAGAACACCATTCCAGTTGTTAATTTTTTTTTTTATCAAATTGTTCCTGTTGTTCACAAACTAGATATCAAACCTGACTGTTCCACTTCTTAATTTTTTACAACTCAAACACTGCTGAGAATCAATGATATAACTAAGAAAGTTGTTTGTTGCACATTTGTTTAAGCAAATCAAACCCCCAAAAAAGAACCTTATATATCAATATTTTTGGTTGTTTCACCAAGTAGGATTACAGAAGAATGAGTGACAAGAAGTAGTAAATTACAATTGAAATGTTAAAAGTGAATTGCTTTGTTAATAAATAACATTCTTGACTTTATACAGCATTTATTTTAAATTTAAATGTTTCATAATAGAATGAAGCTGCAAGAAACAGCTTACAAAATGTAGAGTAGCTTTAGTAATAAACATTTCAAGTTACAATGTCATCAGTTTGTGTAAGGCATCTTACTTCTGCTAGAGGTGACTCAGGTTTGTGCAAAGCAGTTGTCTGTTGTTACAGGATGGCAGCTAGTTACTTGTTACCAGATAGTCATTTCCAAACAGTTACAATGTGTCAGGAAGTCAGATGAAGTCCATGCAACAAGGACACCCAGCGTAAAGATCATTAAATGTTCAAGATATCAAATTATTTTCCTTTCTTCTGATTCAAAAAATGTAGTATGGCATTTTGAGCATGAATAAAGTATTTCTATTTGCCAGAAAAAATAACTCTATAGTATAAGAAGTTATGAATTCCCCTTTTCCACACTTATCTGTTTCTCGCATTTACTATTGTCAACAGCAGTTCATTCCATAAGCCAAATACCTTGTCAGAAAAATAAAAATGTTGGAGCAGAAGCCAAGTCTGTCTTTTCCAAATCTTAACACTGTGCCCTCTCATCTGAAATAATCCCTGGAAAATCTTGTCAACTTTAATTAAAATCACCTCTTACCCTTTTTTTTTTTTTTATGAGATAATACATTAAGAACGTTAACATATTCCCATAAGATAGCTCTCCAATCCCCATAATCATTCTAGTAGCCCTCTGATGAATCATTTCAAATATTGATAAGCCAGTATCTTTTCTTAGATAAGAACAAAACTATACATTATCCCAAGAGAGATTCAACTAGTGATGTGTACAGTGAGATTTTACTTTTGTTGACTTGTTAACATTAAGTATGAAAATACTCCACTTCGCAACATGGGTCATCCACATTGGTAGGATTTCATTTAATAACAACACTTTGTTTTCTTCAATCCAACCATTCTACAAATCAATTTAGTAGTATTTCTCACCACCCCCCCCAGTAAAATTTTTGGGCTAATCTTTTTTGTCACACTTTGTCGAAAGCTCACTAAAAATTTAAGTACACCAATTTTATCAACCATATAGTTTGTAAAATCCTCCAAAACAATTAACTGGTAACTAAGATAAAATTTCACTTTCATGAATCCATGTGAATTTTCTTTTATAATATTATATTTTTAATACATTACTTTGCAAAGCTTCTTTCATCAAATTCTCTTGAAGTTTCCCTCTAAAGAAATAAAACTAATGTGCCCATAATTCCCAAGACAACTCTTACCTCCCTCCCTTCAAAACAGAAATAAGAATAATAATTCTCCAATCCTTCGGCACCTTCTCAGTCTCACTGCATAATGTATTACCTACCAAAAATGAGAGACTTGCATATCTTATCTTTCACCTCTGTTAAGACACTGGAAAAACATCGTTTGGCCCGGTTTTTATTTTCTAAATCTTCAGTCTTTCATTTTACCACAAAGTGATTAATAACTACAAGATTCAAATTAATTCCAGCATTTCATATACAATGCTCAGGGTCAGGATTATATATATAGCCAACATCCTATCTAGTGTCTTGTAAAAACAGAAAATAATACATTAAGCTTCGACCTGGCGCTACACATAACGTGCAAATTCAGTTAATTAAACTAAAAATATAGTAAAAGTGACGGTTAAACAATAACTATTTGAACTTACTAACTTAAGTCTTAAGAGTTTCAGACTTTAGTTGGGTTATCATGAAAATGGCGAAATATAATAAGAAATCATAAATTTATACTGATAACTGGCAACAGTAACTAAAATTAGAAACTTTAATTTTCATTACAGCTTTACATACCATCGGGGCGAAACTCAAATTCCAAAAATTCATGTCCAAATTTTCCTTTGTGACCAACATAATATCTCAGATAAAAATCTTTCGACATTCTGGGGTTTACACTTAGGCCTAAAGACAACCAAATTCAGTATCAGAACTAAAAAAAAACGCTGAATAGAAGCGCTAACAGCGCCAATTTAATCTCGAGATTCAAATGCTAGTGTGTGTTATATATATATATATACAATTTGCTTTAACCTTATTTATAAGTAAACCGACTCTCTTATTTCTATGCGACAAAAATAAAATTATGTGGTGAATAATTTTACAATATGCATCATAAATGTCTGGTTACGCAGCAGAATGAAAAAACTGATGTAGTGATTACTGATTATGCGGCAAAATGTCAAATTAATATATAAATATCGCCCCTAGTGGATCAGCGGTAAGTCTGAAGGCTTATAACGCTAAAAACCGGGCATCGATGCCCGTGGTGGATATATCACAAATGGCCCATTGTATAGTGTTGCATATCTGCTTGGTTGTTAATTTCCCGTAGAAATTCTATCCGAGAAACTTCAGCGATACAATTCATTTCTTGATTAACCCAGTTTATTCTTCCTTGATACAAACTTTGTAATACACAAAATTTCCACAGTCACTTTAAACTTAACAACCTTTATAACACACGCTATAAATCACAGTGATTCACACACTTTACTCACGGTGCCTACTGTTCGCTTGATTCAATTATTTATCTTTTCAATCACGCTGGTTTTTCTCGCCAGGCTTATATAATAAAAAGAGAATATCTCGATCAGACTAGAGTTGCCAGGCAAATTCGTGATCCTTCGAGAAACTCCAGCGCGCATGCCCCCAGCGTCATGTGATTTTCGTTGTCGTAATAATAGCTTTTGTGCTTAATAACAAACAAACACTAAAAATATCTTAAAACAATCACATTTAGGAGTACGTTAGAATAATTAACGTAATTCCACTATCATCAACAACTGAGCACTTACTCTTGTATTATATAAATCAATAGACACGATTTTAGACTTCATAAGTCTTTTGACAGGACAGGAATCAGACTATTTGGGCAGTAGGCACCACTCGCTAAACATCAAAACACAAAGTCAAAAGTTATAACTCTTGTGATGCTGACCTAGATTATATTTTACTCAGACTTTAATTATGTAATCAACCATAATTGATTATACAGTCATATGTAAATTATATAAAATCTCCATGACCATATATATCCTACGTGCTTTCATGTTCTTTATGAAATGTCTTTATAGAAATTAGTTAACAATTCTTATAACTATTATCTCACCTAAGTCTTTTATGTACTTTACACACCGCTTTGGCACAAACTAAACTTGATACAGACAACTCTAGGTTATAATTCGCTAGTTCTCAAGGCCAACTCATATTGAACATCCAGGTTACGTGAGGTCGACATCCGTGCCTATATATCTCATCATATTCATTAAACCTTACCCTTCATTGTCCCGTTGAAGAATAGTAAACTACTCGAAAGCGCTCGAGTTTTGAGCCTCGTTTGAAAACATTGCTGTATTTTCTTTTTGTTTCTTTTGTGATAAAGATTGTGTTCAGTTAGTTACAATTGTACAGTCTCATTTTTTTCAAACAAACAAAGGAGACTCTCTCAATTTATCAAACACAGAATACCAGTCTTATTTCCTGGTCGATGTTGTTATTAGCAAGGATAAGTATATGGCACTTTTAGAGAAATCAGTTAACCTGAAAATACCAACAAACTGTTAGAAAGGAGAAATTTTGGTGCCATGACAACAGGATTTATTTCAAAGTTTCTGTCTTAACAATGTGCATACTTGGCCTTGTTTAATACCTTGAGTTTATCGAATTCCAATTAATGCTTTTATGGTTAAAACGACTTATTCTAACTAAGAGGGAGAGCGTGTCACAGAGAGTGTGTATAGGAGAATTGTGTAGAGTCAAGGGGAAGTCCTCCATTAGATATAAGACTTTTATTCATGATGAGGAAGTCTCTGACATCATTCAGACTCAAGGGGATTTGCTTATGTCTGGAGCAACTAGGCCATTTGAACAGATCTAACCCCTGTGGATTGATTTCGGTGGAAGAAAAGGACAAATGACTGAGAGTTGTTGAAGTGGAATGGTGCCTGGAGAGTTCAAGACCACATGGGAATGTCAGAACACAATAGCCTCAATTCTGATCCAAACCATTGGTAGCTTGTGTAGAGAGGCTTCATCTGTTATTGATGGGTGATCTCCATCAGTAAGAATTGTTTCTTCAACAGGTGAGACAATGGGCACCCACGGGCGATGACCATGAACTATGGGCTGAGGTACTTTCAGGCAGCTTGTGATAATCGTAGTCATGTACATCTGTATGACAAGCCACTTCGAGTAGGTTGCACCCTGTAGGCCAAGGAATGACAACAAATCTGTGTATTGGAGCTTCCATCCAGAGCTGATAATATCAGCAGCATCTTCATCTGGCATAGCTATGGATTCCATGAGGGAGAGGCTTTGGTCAGCTGTCTAGGTCAATGTGAGCAAGATCAAACAGATCATTGTCCCAATGTTCAAAGGAACAGCTAAAGAAGACCTATATCCGTTCCTAAAGTGTTTCAAGCAAGTAACTGCCTGGAATGGATGGACCCAGAAATATGTTTTTCAATACCTGGCCATGATCTTAGATGGTCTGGCCCACAGCAGTGCTGAACACCTGTACAAGACAAAACAGGACGAATGGGAGATAGTTGTGTATGAGCTGTGTCACTGATTCGACTCTGTGGAGAATTAACTAATTTATAGGGCTTAAAATAGATTGGCTCCAAGGGGCTGGCTGCAGATACAAGCAATATGCACCAAATACATTCAAAACATACCAAGAATATATTCTGCGGAACACGAGGACTTCCCAATGAACTTATGCAACAGTACTTGGAGATGAGAGAAAACCTGGAGCTCATAGAAGTAGTATTTATTGCAACACACTTTGAAATACTCACTTTAAGATGGCCACCAGAAAGGAAAAAGCTTACAATGACAACTGTATTGGCAGCGTCACCAGCATATGGTGATACCCAAGTATCTCCACCAAATATAGCTTAAACAAACCAAAAAGCTAAAAAAAATAGTCACCCACAACTTTTGGATTGTGATACAGCTAAACACAAATTTTGATATTATGATGCAACTACACTGGTCTCCAATAAGTGGGCAGTGCTACCTTGGTTCACCTATGGGGTAAACACCATAACAATGTCCAGCTATAGGTATATGCCACAGCAAGGTCCAACCCATGGGGTATGTGTTGAAGCAAGGGTACATACCACCAAAAGATCTGCCCATGGGATACACACCACAGCAATAGCTAATGCCTCTGCCTGGACATTGCCCAGGATAGAAATAGTGAAGAATCTGCTTTGCTTATGGACTAGAGGAAGAACAGCCCATAGTTTGCTAAACAGCAAAAATGGCAGAGATATCAGTTTCAATCAATGGCTCAGCAAATGCTAGCCAATCCACAATGTTAGTACTTTGCTAAACAGCAAAGTAGGTAGGGTTATTGGTACCTGATAAATACACGAATGGCATAGATTCTGGTGGACCTTGTGATCTTTCAAGTTCTCCAAGTTAAACCACTGCTAAAGCCGGTGATTATTGACTTTATTCTGATAAATGGTGATAGAATAGACATTTAGAGAAGAAGTGGGTATCCAGCTTAGTCTAGGAGATGCTTTTTTATCTTGGATCTAGAATTGGCATCTTTGTGGAGCTTGTTTATCAGTTTTGTCTGTGCAGCAGATAAGCTGATGTTTCTCGAGAAAGCCATCTAGTGACAAATAAATCAAGCACCAGGAACAGTAGACATCACAAATGTATGAAGTGAAGGGAATAATAGTACCTCCAAATGCACAAAGTTATTCTTTTTAATCAAATGGATCAACAATTGATGTCTCAGTACATATAGACGCAGGTGAAGCTTGCCCAAGAAAGTAATCACTGAACCAACTTCCTTGTAGCACTAGCAAGTACGAAATACAGCAGATGCTACAGTATGGAGCCATTAAACCTTCTAGATGGCCTGTCATCTCCAGTAATGATTGTAAGGAAGAAGGAAAATACACCAAGATTCTGTGTTGAGTTTAAATGGGTGAGCCTGGTCTATGCCGGCAATGTTTTAGTACTGTCCACATTTTCGAGTCCATGTCTGAGAACCTGAAGATAGTATTCCAATGCGTATAAAAAATAGGCTCAAAACTGAAACCAGGAAAATGTTTCCTCATGTGAACAGAGGTAAAGTTTATTGATCACATTGTTGGGAGAAATGAAGTCTCGACAAGCCAAGCTAAGACAGTTGCAGTAAAAGGCTGGCTTTTACCCATGATGAAACAAAAAAGTCTGCAGTTTCCTCGTTTCACATTTTATTACCACTACTGACAATTTATGGCCAATTTCTTTAAAAAAGCAGCGCAATTGTCAACTATCACAATATTGGAAGCACACTCTGGATGGAGTGAAAAATGTGATTGGGTATTTTGATCTCTAAAGCTTGCTTTGATGGGTGTTCCAGTGTTGGCCCATCCACCAGTGACAATAGTCTCAGAGCAGTGATATGACAGTTACAGGATAGAATGGAATGTATAATCGTGTTTGCAAACCATACATTCACGACATCCAAATGTAGATACTGAATGATAAAGAAAGAGCTGTTTGCAGTGGCTAGCTTCGTAAAACTCTATCAGAACTAGTTGTATGGTAGGACGTTCACAATATGGCTAGACCATGTTTCACTCAAGTGGTTAGTGAATTTCATAAATCCAAAGAGGTAATAGCATATTGGATAACGATATTGCAAGAATACAACTTTTCATTACTGTGGCCACGACATGGGAATTGGATAGACTATCTTACCATACAGTGAAACCTTGTCCACTCGTGAGATCCTAACCTTGAACATTGTATGGAAGTTGAAACTGTGTCTTGTTCAATCACAGAGAATGCAAACCATGAAGCAGAATACTTCACTGGCAGAAAAATGATGAAAATAACGCAATAGGAGCTCTGAGATGAGCAGTTGAAGGGCTTTGATGTAACATGAGCACTTTTTGCTGTCTAGAAAAGTCAAGCCGAACCAGCACTAGTACAGAAGTGTAGCATAAACACAAGTAACTTATAT